CTACATCTGTCATGATGCCCCTTGACCAACCTTCATGGGTGATGGAGGCAGCCGCACCCTGGGAGTCCCTGGATGCGGTGGCTAAGGGGGAATTGTAGGCCATCTGGCGAGCCCAGCCCACAGAAGAGAATGGAGATGCGAGGAAAGCCAAGAACCATTCTTACCAGGCATCTCAACTGCAGATCATAAAGGGAGTATTGTGGATTTGCATGGCTTTTGATTTTATTTTGGCAAAAACTCCAGAATTCTTCAAGAATGGTTTTGTTAAAACTCCCTTTTTTGTCTGAAAATGCATTTGGGCAGATACGTTTCAACCCTTCCTAGATCTCAGTTTGGTGGGGTATTGATTTAAGTTCTAACAAGCCCTCCATCAAATGCTATAATGTTACTGTGAAAAGAGTCATCAGATAGTGCCATTGCATGTAAGCTGACAGGCTTTTGTGGCTTGGTGCGTGCATAACGTTCGCACCAAGTCTTTGAAGGAAAGCTGGCAGACAGTTTTGTGATGAGGCTCTTTGGGGAAGTTTTTGCATGCAGAAGTTTGCTGTTTGCCTTCATCTCTCTGGCTGGAGTCAAGTCTTTGGCTGGGGTGGCTTTCTGGGAATGAGGCATTGCATTTGGGCTAAGACTTCTGGAAGAGGGGCTTTTCTGGTTGTGGCCGGGCAGGTGCAGAGGGCACAAACAAAAAAGGCAGGATAAGAAATATCCTGACTTGCCATCACTAATTTCCTCTCCCAAGGCCAAACTGGCCCCAAAGCCTCAGCATCTACATTTGACCAGCACAAGGGGTGCAGCCTTTCGAGTCACCGATGGGGTGGCCTGTGTCATCTGGTCTTTCTGGGCTCCTACCACCAAGGCTCCCACATGTCACCAGCCCCAGGCTGGACAGACAAAGAGGGAAGGATGTTCTACATCCTGTGTCCTCAAATTAAGGTTCCTGCACCTGTTAATGGGTACCTGACCTATGCTGAGAGGAGGAAGTGGGAGAGAGAGAACTGGCTAACTAGAGACCACTCACTTGGGGTCTGGGCAGGTTACCCTCCTTTGGGCTTGGGACCAGCTGCAAACATCTGTCACTATAGCAGTGGCTTTTGGCTCATCAGGGTCTGACATGACCTTTTGCATAACCATAGACAGGGAGGAGATATCACCTACCAGGCAGGAGGCCTTGCTCACTCGCAAAGGGGCAGGAAGCTCCTTGAACCCATCTCGTGCTGCTCGTGGTTTGATAAAGGTTTCTGATGAGCAACTTAAATGCAGCCTGGCAAGAAGTGGGGGGGGCGAGCCAAGGGCACAGCTCCTGCTGCTGGAGGAGCTGGGAACCATCCTCTGGGTGTCAGGGCTTGTTTGGGCCTTTGGATACGATGGACTTCACGTCCTGGCAAAGGACAGCAGAAAGGAATTGGGGAGGTTCTGCCCCTGCCTGGGGCTGTGAGCTCCATTCTGTGATACTCCTATCTCCCCCCGCCGCCTTCCTCCAATCTCTCCCCGATCTTATCTTCACTTTGGCGCCCATCATGACAGCGTCTTAAACTTAATTCCAGCTGTCAGTGATTTTCTTCCTCGCACTAGCTCTAAATCTAACAGTGCTTTACACACAGCATTGCCTTAAGCCTCATAATACACATGGGCTAGGTAGGAGAGGTTGCTTCCATCATCACCAAAATGCAGCTAGTTCTGGGGTGGGGTGGCCTGGCGATGATAGGCTAGAGAAAAATCTTGCCTACTGAATGCTGGATCTCTGGGCTGGCAGGGTGTAATGACCCAGATTGAGACAGACAGGATGTTGGGGTTCATGCAATCCCTTCCCTCTCCTGACCTGAGCTGTGGCATGTACGTGCACTATATAATTATAGCCAACCAGCTAGGATTTGCAGCTCTCTTATGCACCGCAGTTAAATGCTGGGTGGAGTCAAAATGATCCTATCTATCCATGGGGCAAATGAGAGAGAGAATCTAGTTGGGCAAGAGGAGCCACAGACTGCAAGCACCTGGGGGTAGGTAACCTCAGGCAGGGTGGTTTGTTTGGCAAGAGCCACAGAGAGAGGAAAATTCCACCCGCTCCGTGTAGCCCGACCCGCTGAGAGTGCAGCACTCCTCAGCCTGGCACGCTGCAAATACAAGGGAGGCGAAGGGCAGGCAGTGCTGCAGTGGCAGCATATTTGGGTGGACAGCCATGGAGGGGCTTCCATCTCTGCTACTGATCTGCTACACGACACTTGGAGGGTCTTCCATCTCTGCTACTGATCTGCTACACGACCCTGGGCAAGTGATTTCCTCTTTTTGGAGCCTCTGTATCTCCTCTCCTCATTTGTCTGGTTGGTTTAGGTGGTAAACTCTTTGGGATGGTCTCTTACAATGTGTTGGGGCAGCCCCTAATTCTGATCTCAAGCTGGGCTGGTCATGGGAAATGGGTTCGCAGGCTCTCACTCCCTTTTCCCCAGTAAACAGATGTGTGCACACAGCTGGTGCTATTCACCCTTTTTTGTCAACAGCCTCAGCAAAAAGGCCAAGGATGACTGGTTGCTAGAGGCTAACACCCCTGTATTCAGATGAACAAGCATCCCCCTTCTCTTTATTATGTCCCAAAAAGCATCATCTCCTTCTTTTTATTACGTCCCAAACAGCATAGGTGCATGCCCCCCCCCAGCACACTTGCAGAGGAATCCAACAGAGCTGGTTAAAATGAAGACTTCCCAGCTTGTGGGAAATGTTATTTTGAAATGGTTTTGTTTTGACCAGGAATGAAAATAAATCATGTTGACATTTCCTGCAAAAAGGCTTTTCTGGCACATGTTTTAATTCACAAGCGTGTTGCTTCTGGCTGCTACAATTTTGAAATGGTGTCTCAAATTTGATTTTATCTTACAGTTTTTTTCGGGTGTATGTAATATGACATTCTTTCATGGTGTGCCAGTAGCACTACGCTTCCTGACGTGTCAGAATGTGACTTGCTGGCTGAAATAGTATTTCTTTATTTTGATGTATTTTATCTTCCCTTTATTTAAAAAAAATACGAGCGTTAAGGGCAGCTGCCTACTTAGCCAGGCCTGAAACTCTTAAATTATTTGCTAGAGCAAAGTGTGTCCTGTTGGCATGGCAGTGTTTGTTTCTAAGCCTTAAACTATTTCCTTGCCCTGCGACATAGGACACGCCATGAAATAATTAAAAAAAAACCAAACATAAAAAGTAAAAGCTCTCTAAATTAAATTTTGAAATTCTAAAATAATAAGGAAGGAGAATGCCATCAACATTTTGCTGATTTTGGTGGCAATTTTTGGTTCTATCAAACTGGCTTTTCCCAAGGGAAAATTGTTTTGGCAAAGTTTTCTGATCGGCTCTGATTGCAAGTAGTCTAGCCACTCACATTAGGTTGCATGCAGAACTTCGTATCCTCAGCCCATAGGCTCTGCACCACACCCAGTGTGCATGTATGTCAAGATCCCCTTTTTCTGCCCTTGGGGATTTGCTATATCTCTGCCTCTTTCCAGTAGACAGCTAGGGCACTCTACCCAATGGGTTGCTAGGAACACCATGCACCTTGAATGACGATCTGTGGTTTCCCTTTGTTCCTGGAAGCCAAAGCCTGCCTTGATTCTTCTCTTCTTGCTGATTGAACTCGGTTTACACCAACTCCCAAGGACAGAGGCCCTGAGCACACCCTCCCTAGTGGCTAAAACCCTGCCATGCCTCCATAACAAGAAGCAGCCCAGCTGCCAATCCTTCCCACGCCCAAATTCTGCGACTGGCCTAGCCTATCCTTTGAGGTCCCACATGTGTCTTGCAGGCTGGAATTTCCCACAGATCCCGCCTGGGCTTTCAGCAAAATCCAAGTCATGCCTGCACATGCAGAGGTCATTTTAGGTAGATCCTAACACAATTTGTCAGATG